TGTGAGCCGTGTGCACGTGCGTGCGCATGGAGGGCGCGTTTTATGCCGTGTGTGCTCCCCTGTGTCTCCGCGTGGCCAAAAGGCCCCCACCTCTGCCGGAGTTTCTCCCAAGAGTCTCACCAAGCCTCGCCCTGGGCGACGCCCTTACTTCCTCCAGGTCGCTCCGACCCAGCCCGCCGGCAGCTGCCGCCCAGCTTTGCTTTCCGGGACCAGCTCCCCGCCGCCGTCCCAGGGGCGCCCTTGCCGGTTGCCAGAGCCCTCCGGAAATCCTCCTCCCGCTTAATCTCGTCCACCTTGCCTGCCGCCTCTCGGCCCCCTCGGTGCCTCCTCTTCCTCTTACCTTCCCGGTTCTAAGCACACTCCACCTTGCCCACGGGGCTCTTCTCCCTGCCCCACAAGTCCAGAAGAGAGGATTCTCGTCTCTTCCTCTCCAGGTTTTCAGAACTTGCCTGACAAGACCGCCCCAGACAAAGCACTGTCCTGCTCCGCTGTCCTGCCTTTGTGTAACTGTTGTCTGCCGGCTCTCATCTGGCCAAAGAAAGCAGCAGGTCCCCACCCTTGCTGCACATGAGAATCCCCAGAGGAGCTTCTTTAAAAAAAATGTGATGCCGGGGCTCGGTGGCTCAGCCCGTAATCCCGCGCCTTTGGGAGGCTGAGGTGAGTGGATGGCCTGAGCCCGCGGGTTCGAGACCCGCCTGGGCAGCGAGACCTCATCTCTACAATAAATCAAAAAATCAGCCAGGCGTGGTAGCACATGCCTGTAATTCCGGCTACTCGGAAGGCTGAGGCAGAAGGATCGCCGGAGCCCAGCAGGTCGAGGCTGCGGTGGCCGGGAGCAGCCACTGCGCTCCAGTCTGGGCGACAGAGTGAGACTCCAACTCAAAAAAAAAAAAAAATGTGGATGGGCCCCACCCCAGAACATTCCATCAGAATCTCAGGGAGTGGAGACCCACTGGACCCTGGAGTGTTTAAAACGCCCCCAGGTGGTTTCTGACATACAGAAAGGTCTCCAAGCACTGCACAGGAGTAACATCCTGTGAATAAAGGAAGACTGCATGGTCACTGTCCTCAGGCCATCTGCCCAGCCTTGAACTTGCCACTTGAACCCAGGCCACACCAGGGCCAAGCTCACCTGCCCCTCTCCCCACTTCCGGCTGAAAGGTAAACCTCTCTCCACCACTACCTGAGAGGTCCTTCAGGCAGGGCACCTGGCTCTCCTCTGTGCCTGTTTGTCTCCATAGGCCCCGCACTACTTACTTATTCTGTCTTTCTACAAATGATAGACTTGAGTTGCTACTGTGAGTCGTGTTCTGAGCCACTCAGAAAGGACTGACAAGGCAAAGCTCTTTCCTTTGGGGTCTCAGTGTAGTAGAGTCCTGAGACTCAGTTTCTTCATCCAGACAAGATGGTTACACGGGGCTCATTCATTCCCTAACTATATTAAGAACCTCCACCCGCTGTGGGAGCTTTTCTGTCCTCTTAATGAATCCTGCTTTCGCACTAAAAAAAAGAACCTCTAGACCCAGGTACTGGTCTAGACCCTGGAGACATGATCGTGAGCAAAAAGGTCAGCATCCTTGAGAGCCATCCTGTTACCTAAAGCAGAGGTTCCCAACCCCTCGCCCGGGGACGGTACTGGTCCAAGGCCTGTTAGGAGCCCAGCCACACAGGAGGAGGTGGGCAGTGGGTGAGCGGAGCTTCCGGCCCCTGTCAGATCAGCAGCGACATTCGATTCTCATAGAGAGGACGCACCCTACTGTGAACGGTGCATGTGAGGGATCTAGGTTGCGGGCTCCTTAGGAGAATCTAATGCCTGATGATCCCCACTCCCCCTTCCATAGAAAAATTGTCTCCCGGCCGGGTGTGGTAGCTCAGCCTGTCATCCCAGCACTTTGAGAGGCCCAAGGTGAGAGGATTGTCTGAGCCCAGGGGTTCAAGACCAGCCTGGGCAACTTGGTGAGACCTCGTCTCTACAA